ACATGCGCGCCTCTACATAAATAAATGAAAAGTTAGCAACTCCAACCGAGCGTCACAACTCCAATACGGAGCAAGAAATGCTCTCCAACCGAGCGTCAAAATAGAACTCCAAATTGGTGTTTCTACAGTGTTGCGCTTTTCTGGTTCTTCATTAAGCATATACATGCGCGCCTCTACATAAATAAATGAAAAGTTAGCAACTCCAACCGAGCGTCACAACTCCAATACGGAGCAAGAAATGCTCTCCAACCGAGCGTCAAAATAGAACTCCAAATTGGTGTTTCTACAGTGTTGCGCTTTTCTGGTTCTTCATTAAGCGCTATATGATTTTATATTTTTTTTCTTTCAGGGTTAATAATAAAAAATGGCCCATAAAAATGTTTTTTAATTCATATTTTTCCTTAACTGTATATTTTTCGATAAAATTTCTCCATTTTGTACCTTTTTTTAATGCTTTAATTATTCTATTACATTAATATGTTAGTAATATATATGTGTGCATAATTGGTGAAATAAATTAATTGTTGGGAATATAAAAAATGAATTTATATAAAAAGACATACAGTGAATATTTATTTTAGAATAAAGTCTGGGATAATGAAGGTTGGTGATGAACTTTTTGAGTGATGTGAAATAACAACTCGAAATTAGAGTAATGGATTGTCGGAGGACGCTCCGATCCTTTTTACATAACCATGAAATATCTTTTTAACAAAAGCAGCAATGCCAATAATAGGTTACAAACAAATTTAAGAAGGAAAGAAGAGCAAATAATAATAATAATAATAATAATAATAATAATAATAATAATACTAATAATAATAATAATAATAATAATAAAAGGAAATATATTATTATGAATGAAACACAGTGTTGAATTATTTCAGCCTCATTTGGTACTAGATGATTGAATACTACTGTATTGTCTGATATAATGAAGTATCTTGGCCGATCGAGTCAAATTTCTTGCTCGATTCCCTGTGATATATGAAGCTGTATTCTTGTTCCCATAAAAGATAGAGTATCTATGTTGATGCCAAAGGGTAGATTTTTCCGTCTACCCATAACTATTAAGTTCATCTTAGTTTGTCTTTAAATTTTAAAAAAACTATTTTTATCCTCTAAATTATAAATTAGGTTCACTTAACTTCTTTCATTAGAACTTCTGTTGAAAAGAGACTAAAAAGGAAACGATTAAATGTGATCAAAAATGACTAATACGCTAATGCACAAAAATGTTGGAAAAAAAATTTCTAAAGAACATGATTTGTTTCTGAAGTCTGAATTACCTGCAACTTCCTGCAACTTGATTTGTTTCTTGCTGTTGCTTTGGAATTTGGCTGTTGATTTGTTTTACGTTTGATTACAACTTTAGTTCATGTAAGTTTGATGAACTTGGAATTTCGGTCTACGAAACAAAAGTCGTGGGGATTTGCATACATGAATGAGTGCAAAACGAGCATATGCGAAGCAAATACACTGACTTTCTTTTAAGCTTGATTGGTGTAGAAGTACAAATAATAGTCTTCTATTATATATAGGAATGAGTGTTGTAATTACTAGTCTTCCAAGTTCCAGTCAGCGTTATAGCTTATCATATAGTTATATAT